CAAACCATTGGAAAGCTTGTTATAATAACAACAAGAAACATTTTATTTTTTTAAATGTCCAGGTATTTCTTTCGACATTTTACTAATCTTAATTACTGGTTTTGGTATTTCCTCTCTTAAATAACTTTACAAAATAACGCGATGTTCCTTAAAAAAACACAGAACAAACAATTCAGCCAATATCAAATATGATAAAAGAAAGTGTACTGGTGCTCTAACTTTTTAACGAATAGATTATGAAGAAATAATAGCATTTTAGAGGATAAAATTAAGTGTGCAAAGTTAGGTTAGGTAAATATCTCACTTGTGCTAGAAAAAAGTTCAATATAAATATGTTTTACTTTAATTAAAACATGACGGAAAGAAAAATTAATTCAGAGACAGTTCTCAGTTTTCCAATAGGATGAATTATTTGAAATTTGATCAAAATATACTTACGGCTAGTTTTGAAACAGGAACAGATACTTCTGGGTTTTCAAAAGGTTTAAACATTTGAAAATTGATTAACATATACGTACAGATGTTTTGAAACTGAAACGGATGGTTTTGAGTTTTTAAAGGGTTTAAACACCTACGTTTGTGAATTTTCACCTGTTACAAAATACTCCACACTTTACTTACCACTGCTGAGTACGACTTTTTGCAGGTCACTTTTTGGATGGTCCTGGTGCATCAGAGTTGATCCATAATTCTTTGTGTCAAATGCCATCAAGTACAAAGGGTATCCACGTTTTAAAAATTCAAAATTCCCAATCTGAATAAATCTGTATTGTCTTAGTGCATAGATATTTTGCATCTGACAGGATTGTTACTTACCCTTCCCAAAAGAGATCAGTTTTTGTGACATCATGCTACCTTTTCCCTTTTTCTACATTAAATTGTTTCAGAAGGATTTCAACAATTAATAATCTAATATTAATTTTGCAGTAGTATAGGAATCTAAGTCAATGATAACTTGGTTTATGATCAATAAAAGCTTTAAAGCTGTATTTTATCATAAACCGATTTTTATAAGATTGTTCAGCAGTTTAGAACTCAAACTATTTCCTTTTAATCTAATATATATATACTTATTAATCGAACTTTTGGTATTAGTATTTAGTAGTTATAAGTATTTTCGAAATGAGACAAGAAAACTCAAAGAAATATTGCAAGAGAATTTGTTTCTCAATTTAAAATTGGCCCCCAGTGGCACAGCAGTATGTCTGCGGACTTATACTGCTAGAAACCGGGTTTCGATACCAGTGGCGGGCATAGCACAGATAGCCCTTTGTGCTTAATAACAAACAACAACAATTTAAAATAGATAAAAGTATGAAAAGTTTGCTTGTTTCTGAGTAAACCTACACAAAGGACAATATGCGCTCTGCTCGCCGCGCCGAATCAAACCGTGGGTTTTAGAGTTAAGTTTCCGTTAACTTGCCACTGACCCACCAGGGAAAAAAAGTTTAAAAAGAGAATGAATGAAAAATGAAACTTTAAGATAATAACTGTGAGACATCCGAGAACAATATATGAGATGGTTTGGACTTTTAGCAAGACCACAAAAAATCGTGCGTTTTTAGGATAATCGGAAACATAGCAAAGGGAATATATACCACTAGGGTATATAGAGTAGAATAAGAGATCAAAGTATAAGGGGAGACACCCGACACCCACTAGAGTATATAGAGTAGAATAAGAGATTAAAGTATAAGGGGAGACATCCGACGAAGAGAACGAAGAAGAAGAAGGATAATTGGTGACATTATTAACATCGCATCATCCACTAGAGTATAAGGAGTAGAAGAAGAAAAGATAAACGTACAAAGGTGAAAAGTCAGACATTCACTAGAGTATATAGTGTAAAATAAGAGCTTAAAGTATAAGGGGAGACAGCCGACACTCACTAGGGTACATAGTGTAAAATGAGAGCTTAAAGTATAAAGGGAGACAGTCGACACCCACTAGGGTATATAGTGTAAAATAAGAGCTTAAAGTATAAGGGGAGACAGCCGACACTCACTAGAGTACATAGAGTAGAATAAGAGATTAAAGTATAAAGGAAGACAGCCGACACCCACTAGGGTATATAGAGTAGAATAAGAGATTAAAGTATAAGGGGAGACAGCCGACACCCACTAGGGTATATAGAGTAGAATAAGAGATTAAAGTATAAGGGGAGACAGCCGACACCCACTAGAGTATAAAGAGTAGAATAAGAGATTAACGTATAAAGGGAGACAACCGACACCCACTAGAGTATATAGAGTAGAATAAGAAATTAAAGTATAAGGGGAGACAGCCGACAACCACTAAAGTATAAAGAGTAGAAGAAAATGAGATTAAAGTATAAGGGGAGACAGCCGACACCCACTAGAGTATATAGAGTAGAATAAGTGATCAAAGTATAAAGGGAGACTTCTGACACTCGCTGGGGTGTAAGGAGTAGCAGGAGAAGAGATAAATGTATTAGGGGAGAAATTAGAAAACTCTCACTCCTCTTGTTTCACAGCTCAATGTTCCAAAAAAGTTAATCACGATTATTTATACAAGTTAATTACCAATATTTATACAAGTTAATTAATTTTTTTATACAAGTTAATTACATTTTTTATACAAGTTAATTATCAATGTTTATACAATTTAATTACATTTTTATACAAGTTAATTGCATTGTTTATACAATTTAATTACATTTTTTTATACAATTTAATTACATTTTTTATACAAGTTAATTACATTTTTTATACAAGTTAATTACCAATATTTATACAAGTTAATTACATTTTTATACAAGTTAATTACCAATATTTATACAAGTTAATTACATTTTTTATACAAGTTAATTACCAATATTTATACAAGTTAATTACCAATATTTATACAAGTTAATTACATTTTTATACAAGTTAATTACCATTATTTATACAAGTTAATTACAATGCTTATACAATTAAATGACCATTGTTTATACAATTAAATTACCATTATTTTTATAAGTTAATTACATTATTTATACGATTTAATTACTATTATTTATACAATTTAATTACCGCTGTTTATACAAGTTAATTATCATTGTTTATACTGCATGCTGAATAATAGGATGGTAAATTTAAGTAATATATATACCTGGTCATACTATCTATAATTTCACTTAATATAAAACAGTAGCTATAATTAATTCATTAGCTGTGGTATGAAATTTGTAGAAACTATCGCTAGGTGTCTCTCCACGCATATGTTAGTCATTTCAAAAGTCACACTTGACTGTCATTGATGGAAGTTTCTTAACTTTAGCAGGATGTTTAGTTTTGTAAGGCTTTGTTATTCGTAGTTCTCCACACTATCTAATATTAGGTGATGCTTAATTCTTCTGACCTTGAAAAGTTCTTATGTTCGTTTAAATAAGATGATCTGTTGTTCTTGTTTGTAGCAATATCGAAATGAATTTTCCTTTTGTTGCCAGATATCTTATATTTAGAACTAAAGAAATAAGTTAAGCCAATTATTGTTTAGAAGATTATCGTTTTTTTTTCTTGAAAATGACTCAAATCATAATTAACAATATTTCATTTTTG